TCATATGGTACAAAACAACTTTGTGATCCAGTTACAGTGCGTTTCTACATTTGGTTCATGCACTGCTTTGGTGCAGTTTGAGCCCATTCAGTTTGAAAGGGCTAAAATCACATTGTACTGAATTGCATGTGAATTGCACATGAATGTTGTGCACGTTCTTGTGCAATTCATAGTGTGAACCTAGGCTTAGAGGTTTGGTCTGGTCCCACCCCAACCTCTGATTGGAAATTCAGCAAATGCATTTTCATTCTGAATGGCGCCCCGACACATCTTGCCAATGGACATGTGTTGCAATGGTCCACAATGCTTGGTAATGCACTACATTTGTGCTTGTGCATTAAATAAAAAAAAAAAGAAAAAACACCTTTTTAGTGTGTTTTTTGGTGTGTTGCCCCCATTCAAATAAAAGGGCTGCTCTAACACAGCCTTTCTCAGCCAGGGTGCCCAGGAGCCCTGGTGTGCCTTCAGGCTACTTCAGGGGTGCCTTGGCAAAATGCCCAAAAATTTGTATACAAGCCAGCAGGTGGATCAATCCTGCCTTTTAGTACACAAAGCCACAGGTTTTCATGGTGTACTTTTATGACCTTCTAGCTACCTGCATTCTAACGACCAATGACATCATCAGTTGATAAGGAGGACGTGGGGCGCGTGCACATCATCCTTGTTTGCCCCTCTCCATCAGCACTGGAGTCACATTAGCAGACTTGGGGAGAAAAACAGAGAGACACATTGGAATCCTAGTCAGTACCTGTGCGCAAAGGTGTATTTGCTTTGGAGGAATACATCACCTCTAATGTTGGGTCTACTTGATGGGTGTAAAATAGTTTTTTACATGTTAGAATGTGGTGCCTGGAGAATATCCATAATTGGAAAGAGTGCCTTGCATGAAAAAAGGTTAAGAAACACGGCTCTAACACCATGTGTTTTACCACACAGCAACATTGTGAACTCGGCCTCAAAGAGGAGCTGCAGTCAGATATTAAAAGCCAACCACTACAAATACTGTAGCTGCTAATTTTTAACCACCTCTTGTCCGGCCGTTGTATATAAACGGCCGGACGGTGGCACTGCAGGGTCGGGTGGCCGTTTATAAACGGCCTCCCCGCACCCTGCTTGTGCACACTCCCTGGGAGCGCGCAGCAGCGCCGCGATCCGGTGCCCGCTGTGTCCTCCAGACACAGTGAAACACCGATCGTCAGACGGGACCTCTGTACGAAGTCCCGATCATGTGATCACTGATTGGCCAATCAGTGATCACATGAAAAGTAGTAAGCAAGATGTCACTTGTGACATCATTGCTTACTACGTGTGAAATCTGTTAATGATCACAGAGGTCACATGGTACAAGGCTATTCACAACAGCGTTGTATCATGTGACAGGCTGTGACCAATCACAGCTCACTCAGTAGTTCTTATTGGCTGCAAGAATGCAGACAGAGAGAAAGAGAAATGATTGCTTTTACATCCTTTATGGGTGTAAAAGCAATCAGTGTAAAAAAAAAAAAAAAAATCTTCTTAACCCCCCTACAAGTAGTACAGCGTCACCATGGTGACACTGTACTGCTAGGGTGACAGTATGTAAAAAAAAAAAAAAAAAACATAAATAATAATAAAAAAATAAAATAAAAATGTAAAAAAATGTTTAAAAATTATAATTTTTGGTTATAAACTAATTTGGTTTATTTTTTTTTTTTTTTTTTTTTACTAAAAAAGATAACAGAATAAATTTTGGCCAAGATTTATGATGAAATATTATTTATTTGCAACATTTTATAAGAAAAACCCTTTTTTTCAAAATGTTTGGACTTTTTCATTTACATAGCAAAAAAAATAAAAATCCTAGTGGTGAATAAATACCACCAAAATAAAGCTTTATCTGTCTCAAAAAAATGGTAAAAAAATTCATATGGGTACAGTGTTGCATGACCGCGCAATTGTCATTCACAGTGTGATAGCGCTGAAAGCTGAAAATTAACCTGGACAGGAAGGGGGTAAAAGTGTCCAGACTTGAAGTGGTTAATAGAACACAAATGTGCGGCCACTCGGCGTCTAGGCCCAGACACTGGAAGGCCGCACATTTGCATTCGGCTGGGGAGTGAAAGTGTCCAGACAGGAAGTGGTTAATATACAGACATGAATCAGACAAGGGATCCAGTACTGTCATCAGTCTGGCTGGTGCTTTGCCGGTCTGTGGCGCCACCATCTTGCTTGTGGAAAGCCAGCTTGTGACTTCTGGTATTTCACAGCTGGGTTCCCCCTGCACATGTGCGAGACACACTGCTCTTTAGAAATGGTGCAGCAGTCTGCTGGGACATGTGATTTGTCCCAGGAGGTTGTGGGTGGTGTGGGAGACCAAGTGCGAGTTGGAGTTTGAACACAAGACTGAGGACTCCTCATTACCCCCCTTCCCCATCTCTGTGAGAGCATTGGGTGGTGAGCAGCCAATCGCCAAGCATTGGTGTTGTCACATGTGCCTTCATACCAAAAAGTACCGGGTATTTTTCTTCTTAGCTCCCAGCAGTGGAATGGAGTAGATGGTGAATTTGTTCAACTAGCTTGGCTGGCAGTAAAATGAACCTGTTGATTTCCCTGCTTGGTCAAAGCACAAGTATTCTTTGAGACACGAGTACAAATATTTTGACATTTCCAATGCTTTGAGCAATTAAATTAAAATGCTCTCTGGGTTGCACAACTGTTTTTTTTGTGTGCGCATTTGAAATATTTATGCAGCAGCCAGCATGGAAAGCTTCTCTGCTTTATTTATTTATTTAGTCTGGTAGCGCTGCTTAACCATTTACAAAAGCTCTGTTTTGATGTAAATAACCTTCCCTGTGGGATATTAAAAGGGCAACTCTCGCTCAAGTGGAATATTGACATGTTCCATTCCCGGCGTTTTACATCTTATTGTTGCAGCAGAGCCTTAGAACTCGGCATACTTTATGAAGATGGGATTTAAAAAAATGTGCATTGCTTCCTTTAACTCAAACCCGAAATAAAAGCTGGAAATTATTATTATGGGAACATGACCCGCTTTCTCTCTGGCTGTATGTTTTAAGTACCTCTGTAATTGTGTTTGGTGGACTGTTAAATTATATGGGCTCCAAACACACCGTTGCCTCTTACAAGAAGTCTTTAGGACCTCACTGAAATTATTCATAGGCTTTCGACAGAGACACATTTTGCTGAAAGGTTACCGCAGCTGTACAGTGTCTCCGGAGACCATTCGTAGAATGCGACCTTCCCTGGAGATTATGTTTTTGTTGATTGTTTTCTTTTTTTTTTTTGCCGATGCATCAAGTATGTGAGTGTCGCCAAACTAGGAAATAGCATTGTTACAAAGGCAGATGTATTTTTTAATCAACGATTGGAGGGCAGTAACCTTTGAGTTCCAACTCTGATTCTTTCCTGTATTTCTGTAATAGTGTTGGAGTAAACTGTACTATTTAACTTGCCATTCTGTCTAATAGTTGCTGGTCACAGAAACTGCTGTGAACTCTTATTGCTCCTTCTCGTGTCATAGCTCTCTAGTAATCCCTAGATAGCAGCTGTGAAAACCCAGACTAAAAATCTGACTTTTGGAGGCAGTTGATTTTTACAGTCTGCGTATATTCACATAATGCCTTTCTTTTTTGTCTGCCAATTAATGCCAAGCCAATAGGGTGAAAATTGGTCAAGTGGATTTTCACACTGGATAAAATAGGTGCGGCACTACAAACATAAAGTAATAATGTTCATGAGTATGCCAATATAGTGATAGTCAGTGTTGGTCTAGGTGCAAATTAGCTGTAGAATCCGCAATTAGTGCTCCAAAACGTGTGATAAAATTATGCACTCACCAGATGCGTAACCTACGGTAAATACCGATGAGATATCACTGCAGGGGTCTCCTCTAGGAGTTAAATAGGGTCCTAGTCTAGGCCAATCCTCCTCCTGGGTATGGTGGTGCTTGTCAGGAGCTCACGGGTGCTTTAGGGGACTCCCTTCTCTGGATGCTGTGTTGGCTGGATCATGGGGGGCTCTTCTCCTCATCCTCCCCAGAAGCATACCCAGAAGGAGGATTGGCCTGGACTAGGACCCTATCCAACTCCTAGAGGAGACCCCTGCAGTGATATCTAATGTGTATTTACTTTACGCATCTGGTGAGTGCGTAATTTTACCACACGTTTTGGAGCACTAATTGCGGATTCTACAGCTAATTTGCACCTAGACCAGCACTGACTATCACTTTATTGGCATACTCATGAACATTATTACTTTGTTTGTAGCGTTGCACCTATTTTATCCATTTTTTATTTTTTTGAAGGTTTTATTACTGGTTGCCTTTGGTGTTCTAGCTACTTAGTAGAGAGCGCCCGCTTTTCCCACTACTGTTTACGGATTTTCACACTGAATTTTCACAGATGCTATCTAGGGATTGCTAGAGAGTTGTGACATGGAAGGGGGGGGGGCAGTGAAGAGCTTACAACAGACCCTATGATTGGGTAGTGTTGATTGCGATAGAGGGCGTAATGGTATGAGTCATTTTAAGACTCTTAGCCCTGGTTCACACTGATGCAGTGTGGAATTTGCAGCATTTTCAGTACGAATTTCGTGCCGCATCAGAATCTCTTCCCCTTCATGCGAACTGCTGTGGGTGTATATGTTAAGTTAACAACACCCCGAAAGCAGTCTGCAAAACGCGGTGCGATGTGAAGAATCGGATCACATAGGTGTGAATACTGTGAGAACTAGCATCAAGCGTAGAGCTTTTAAAGCACACAGCCACTTGCTTTCTTCTTTTTAAGGGCTATTTTAGCCCAATTTTATTTAAAAGAAAGTTCCATAAATTTCCCTCTCAGGGGTTTTCAGCATTTCATTCTGCAAAAAAAACAGATATTTAGCCTCCTGTCTTGTACACACACTTATGCCGCTCTGACCTTCCACTTCAGACTCACAGCTGTCTTCTGCAGACTCCTTCCTAAATGGCTTTTTTTGCACACAGCTAGCAGCCCCTTGCTGCTCTGGCTCTGACCTCTCCTAGGTGGAGCTCTCCTGACTCCTGGGCAACGATCTCCTGTCGGCCGGGGTGGCGCCCAGAACCCTGGTCCTAGAAGAGAGCCACACACACCTGACCAATCAGTCTCCTGGCCATTCCCAAAACCTGGTTCGAGGATTGGAGATTTCATCTCTCCCAAATCACTTTGAAATCTCCAGGCTCCAGGTCACAAAATGAACTTTACAAGCAAATGAGGAAAGTGAAAAGCCACATTCCTCTGCATCAAACGAGTACCCTGGAGCCCCTCATCCTGCCTTGTTGAGAATCCCAGGTGAAATACCCTTTTTACATCGTGACAGATTGCCACACTGTCACAATACCTATGCGATCCGATTCTAGTGCTGACCCAAAAGAGGGTCCTGCGCATTTTTGGTGCAGGTGCGGTGCGAAGAGATCCATGCAAAATGTATGGCTCCGATCGCACCGCACACAAATCGCATGTGATTTGCACAGGAATGCGGTGCAGTTCCTGTGCAAATCACATGCGATATACCAAGCCGTTCGTATGTGAATCCAGGCTTAGGCTGCATCCACACTTATTAAAATCGCCACGATTCTGCCCATGATTCCAAATCGTAGCAAAATATGCGAGACGCATTTGTGGGTGCCACTAATCTTAATGGCATACCAAACACTGCGAATCTGCTGCGTTTGTCATATGATAAAATTGCACATCAAAACACTCATTCAAAATTTGAGCTAAACCCAGGAGCTTCTTTTGGACGAAAAACACGCATAGGACAACCCAATGAAGTGAATGAGCTGCTCTATGCACACCGTGCAAAAAAAGTCAACAAACATGTGAATGAGGCTGTAGGGTTTTGACACATTAACTACAATTTAATAGTTTGGTACTTGCACATGACTTCAGCTTTCTTCTAGAGCACCCTTGTGGCTGTGAAAACGAGGGTTTTCTGTGATGCAAACCCCAACTTCTACTATGAAGTAATGACTTTAACCTTACTATTGGTCAGTAAACCTATCTATCATGGGAATCTAAAAAAAACAGGATCATAGTGGACATTTTTAATTTTTAGAGCGTCTCTAGTCTGTAATATTCAACCAGACCAAGCCTACCTACAGACTTGCAATGAATTCAGAGGAGATGCAAGGCATAGCCAGGAAACAGAGCCTGCATATATTATGAGCAAGTATGGCTGCCCTATGTGTATTGTGGAATACAAACTAAATATAATAAAGGCTTCTAGAACGCTGACCCACATTGATCAGATTTACAATAAATTGACCCATTCCCTTGTTCATGAGGGGCAAACTAAGAGAGTAACTCCAACACCCGTTTTCTGTTCCTGGCAGCATGTATATCGCTTCCTCACTCCAGCACCTCTCCCTTCTGCTGGGACTGGGGACAATCCTGTAAAAGCTCCAAACCCACTTGTCGGTTCTGTAGAGCCAAGGAATTCCTTCCCCCACCCCCATGTGACAGCACTGGGCCAATCACAAGGCACCAGTGCTATTATAGGAGAGATGGGTGAATCATGGGGAACAGGAGACTGTTATACCATTTGCTGTTTTATGCTGTTATACTGGTGTCGGTGAAGACACGCTTTTTGTGAGTGTAAATCTTTATTAAATTATTGGATACTTTTATAAAAAAAAACTGGCTGCACCATGATTTTCTCTTTCATTCCCAAACATGACCTCGGTGGAGAGATATAAAAAGAGAGAGTGATATAATGCTCCTGGAACCGTTTATATTGAGTGGTGGATACCTACCTTATGGATGATTGTGTAGCTATTGATCATCACACCTGAGAAGTTGATTCATTGCATCTGCTCCTAGAGCAAAAAGTGTTTTTTGCTGATCTAGAGATTGATCAGCATGGAGCTCTGGTGAGTTACCCAACTTTACTTTGGTGGTGGATTTTGGCACAATTTCTTTGAGAGCACTTGAATTTGAAAAGGATTTGTTTGGACATTTGAAGGAATTCAAAATTGGACAATTTTTATATTCACTGATTTAATTATTTAAATTACTTATGCACTAAAAAATAGTTTTGCACATAATTTTGATATTTTTTGATATTAATTGAGACTATATATATATATATCTTTTGCACTAATGTTTCTACACTAAATTAGGAATAGTTTGTGGTTTTAGCGCATTCCTTTATTTAAGTTATGGGCTCATCCATACCTGGAAGTACAGGATGTTTTACTTTGCTTCTTGCGTCTGAACAGACCATCATGGGAGTGAAGAAAGAGGAGTATGTGCTGTAGAGGAAGGGGATTTAAGGATTTTTTTTTTTTTTTTTTGCTTGTCCCATGGAATTTACGCTGTCAGTTTAAGCTGAAATCAAAATTAAGTAATACATTTTCTTTTGAAAAAGTAACGAACAAAACAAAACTTTCATTTTTTTTTTTTTTACCAATTATAATATATAATAACTAGAATTGTTAGCCTAATAAATAAGACCTTTGCCCACTCTCCCACCATACCGACACCTAGTTGAAGGGAGGAAAGCTTTGTAAATGAAGGCCGATCTCCTTTTAGGAGGATATATTTCTTGTCCCTTTTGCAGCAGGTACTGGTGTCTGGCTGGTTTGTGTGTTTTGGCTCGAGGTCTATTCATCAAGTCTGTTTGTCCTGAACCCAGGGGGATGCAGCCCAGAGTGCCTCCTCCAGAAATTAAGAAGATTGTTTCTGTGATTAATCTGATGTTTGGTGCAGTACGAAGTCATTAATAAATAATCCAACTTTGATTATTTTCATCGTGTGCTGAGCCAGTGCTGACACCCCCAGGGCAGAGACTCCCCCAACGGGGAGGTTTGTTTCCAAGGCTGGTATTCCCGGGGCAGTTTTTGTCACCGTGATTTGCAGCCTTGGCAAATTATAGCTGCAAGAATGGAGATGATTTCAGCTGCAGTTAGATCCATTGTCCACAGTTCAGGCTGCATAGGTGTGATGTCAGATGGCTGTACCTCGCATGGTGACCATTTAGATTGCTTTGTTAAAGGCATAATTTATCAGGCCAATCTGCCAGGTGAACCCATCCATTCAGCTGAATTTCATAGGGTTCCTTACCAGGTCTCTTTAGTTTTCAGAAGGCCTGTGTGCTGTCCTGATTGGAGCTGGGGCTGTTCAACCTCTTGACTTTCCTTGGCTACATTGGAAGAGGAGAATTGTCTTGGGCCTCCCATAAGATACACTAACGATAAGTGAGCTGATGAGCATAAAAAGTCAGGCAAATCCCAAGTTAACAAGATAATGCACCTATCTGAGTAATAAAACTTTTTTTATTAATAATATCTAATAATTATTCTAAAAATAAAAGAAGGCAACATAAACCTAGTGCGATATTTGACACGGCTTTTGATAAAAAAAACATCAATTTCTGGTTTGATGGGTGTAGTAGCAGTTCTCAATGAATTCTCAAGGTGCTCATCAGATATTTTGGTTCTAATTTTGCCCTTCTTGTGCTTCATCCTTGAAAATAGTTGCTCACAAATATAGGTGCTGCCAAAAACTGATGACATGAATAAGGTGTGATTGTGAAGAGTGGGAGATTTTTCTTTGGGAAGATAAAACGTATAAAAGTCCAGTAAAGAGACACTGTCAAATGTTTCTTCATCCATGTGTTTGCTAAATGTAAATACATTTTCTCTAAAAATGTTTGTGAAAAAACAGCAAGTTTTAGGATTTTGTGTTGAGCCGCATGCGTAGCCATCTTGGGCAGCAGGCTGGACACCCCTGGCTTAGAGGATCCCCTGCCTAGACTTCAAGAGCTCCAGTTAGCCGTTGGTTGGGCAGCAGGAGCGTGTCATAAATAATTAAATACCATCCCTGTGAAGGCCCATGTTTACCCACAAAGGAGATACAGGTGTTTGTATATCCACATGCAGGTAGTCCCATTCATGTCTAATAGGATGCAGCAGCTGCACAGACACAGCCTCTGTTCTCAGTTTGACATTTTTGTGGGTGCCTGGGACTTGCACCCGCACACACCCATTCCCATCAGTTTGAGTGCAGTGACTATGCCCATGCAGCGGCTGTGTCCCAATTACCATGAATATGACGTCCTGCATGCAGATGAATAGAATGCCTGTGCATGTTGCAAACAGGGTCCTCATAACCCATGCGAACAGGGCCTTAACCACTTCCCGTCCAGTCCATGTACATAAACGGCCAGACAGGAGCAGTACAGGAGCGGATTGCCGTTCATAAACGGCACCCACATTTTCAGCCTGCGTGCGCTCCCTGGAAGTGTGCAGCACTGCGATCCTGTGTCCGCTGTGTCCGGAGGATCGCTGTACGGGACCTCGGTGTGAGGTCCTGATCATGTGATCACTGATTGGCCAATCAGTGATTACATAAATAGTAGTAAGCAAGATGTCACTTCCTGACATCATTGCTTACTGAGTGTGAAATTTGTGAATGATCACAGAGGTCACATGGGACAAGAATATTCACAACAGCCTTGTACCATGTGACAAGTTGTGACCAATCACAGCTCACTCAGTACGAGCTATCAGGGGCTATCAATTGCACAGATAAAAAATGTAAAATAGAAAAACCTGTGCTCTAACACCAACAGAGCAAAAGGTACGCCCACGCAGGGGCCATCAATAGCACATAAGTTACAATAACATTTAGAGTATACTATAGTTTATTACATGACCTATATACATAAATAGTGATACATAAAATATAATATGCAGAATTCTGGTTTCATTATCTCATTAGGCCAATCTACTTTTAACATTTGGATTTTTCGTTCGTGTTTACGAAGATTCCTTGGACATAAACATCCGGGTCATCTTCTGTTTCCGCTCATGCGTGATAGCGCTTGATAGATTTTTTTTCGTACGACCGTCATACCACCGCATAGAAAAACCGGTCGTTCGTATGCGAAGCAACAAACTTTTTCACTGTTGTTCAACCGGATTTTTTCATTCACAATATTGTTATCGGTTAAAACATCCTGCTCATCAACGAAGAGAAAATCGTTGGATCAGTGGTTCTGCTAAATTTTTTGTACGATTTTCTTATCATGTGTACGGGGCATAAGTGTGTTACTGGCAAGATCATCAGTTGGAAGAAATGGAGTAAAAAGTCTGAAGAAAGGAAACTAATGCAGTTGTCACATCTAAGACTGATAGCTTAGTTTAGGGGGCTAGGAAAGGTGGACTAGGGCACTTTATTCCAGGAAAGTCTCACTCCCTCCTTCTTGTTTCTGATGTGACTCATGCACGGCATCATTGGAAATTGTGGATAATATTTCTCTGATGTGACAGGTTGGGGGAAGCCTGAAGTCTGCCAAGCCGTGTTCATCCGCTCAATTTGTGGGCTTGCTGCCATTCATTC